CCAGCTTAACACTGTTACAGTCCAGCATGACCCCTCACTGGACTGCCACGTATATAAGAGGAATATTAAATGAGGAAGATAAACCAAGGACAAGGGTTATTAGTTAAAAAAAACAATAACAAAACACATTTACACTGCCACCACCTTCCTGACCAACCATACCTGAATGTGTCAATCACCGATCCCCCAGGAAGGCAAGGAATCAGTAACCATGGGACTCCGGGTAATATGAATTTCAGTAATAAATTTTGGAAAATTAGTTTGTGTAATTTACGTTACTAATTTAAATCCAAGGGCAACTTTAGTATCTATTAATAGTAGGAGAACCTGGGGGCTTCCAATACAACACCTAAAAATGACAAAGTAGCAAAATATATCAAAGGGGAGTTAAGTGAATACCACTGGACAAGCTATACCATTTATTTTATGAAACATGTAAATTAAGACAATTTGAACACATAACCTATTCTATTTCCCTAGAGGCACAATGGATATTTACCGAGGACACAAAACTCAAGTGCTACTATACCTTAAATACCCGCACCACGGCCAAGATGTTGATGGCTGCCCTCAGCCCCGAGGATACGGGCTTGCGGCCCTGTTCCTAATACACTCCCAAGACACACTGATGAAATTTAGTTTTTCCAACTTATTGCTGGGAAGGATTACTCCTCCCACCATCTAATACAGCCCCAGGGCTCCACCCATTATTTTGGCACTGGCCAACCATTTAACACGTAGGCCTGAGGTCTGGCACTCTAGGGCCAATAAGGACTTGGCCCTTATCTCAGGCCAATCACCTTCACTGATCTGTCGTGGAAAGCTACATGAATTTCTGAAGATTGAGTCAGCTCTCCCCAGCTAAAGAGAAGAGGGACAAGGCGCGTCTATGGAGCCCAGGCACCTGCGAGCAATGTTTACAAAACTGATAATTTATGTTCAAGCCTGTCTCCTCTAAGATAGGAGTAGGGACATTTGACTCTGCCTGGTATGGGGAAGGCCGCTGCTGAGAGGGACAGAGAGGGATGAGAGGGGGTGGAGAGGGAAATATCTGAGTGGGGAATTGAGTGGGAGAAGCCAAGGTATCCACGACCACCCTACCCTCAGGTCAACCTCTTGACCCTGACAAATGGGCGACAGGGGGGGGGGGGAGAGGAGGAGACGAATGACGGCCAAGGGGAGGGGAGGGAGAGGGAGAGGGAGAAGGAAAGGAGGGGAGAAGGGGAGGGAAAAGAGGGGAGAAGGGAGAACCAATGATCTGAGCCCCAGATCATTACAATACCCTGATCACAATTTACGATTCGAATAATAATTCATTTTGTCGGAAACAGGCAGCCAGAGTATATACCCATGTTAGGTTCATATCGAAGTCCCCCTCAAGGTCGCAGACCTTGCCCAGGATACAACCCTACAAGCTAATTCCTGGGTTACTGCTAGGTGAAGAGTGGCATTAGATAATAGTAAATGTGCCCAACCATTTCTGTCCCACCCGGGATTCGAACCCGGAATTTCCAGTTGTGAGCCGAGAACGAACCCAATGTTGGCCAAGTGAAATGGGAAAGGCAACTTATTTGTTGCCTTTTATCCTTCATTTGGCAACATATTTGGCATCAGTTGTCTTCTAAAGACAAATTGGTGAAATATATCTAAGCCATAGAAACTAGCGCAAAACGTAATTTGATATACAAAAAATAAAGGTTTAGTAGCTTCGAATTTGGGACTATTACGTTGTTGTAGATCAATACCCATTTTAAAATAAAAATAATGATTGAAATCTTCTCGTTATTTGACTGGCTTTAGCTCACCAAACCCAACAATTTATCAGACATATGCAATTAACTGTTTACAATAACAGAACAAAGTAAATATTTGTATAGCAACAAATCCAATTAGTGGCAAAATCTGTCGCCAATATTGCATCACAGCCTAATTTTGGTATACATATACATCTTAGGTAATTTGTAACGCCTTTACTTTCAGAGCGTGTGAAATAAACTTAGTAGAAATTCCATACGTTTCTGTACCTCAGACAATATCTACTAGACACCTTCACATACCTAAGGACTAGACTATGCTTTTTATTTGATTAATTATTTGCCAGCATCGACTAGGTATGGTAATTAAGCGCGGTCATCGGGAGCAGGAAGCCTACATGCAAGCTGGACGTACCATATTCTGAGGTTATCTTGAGATGATTTCGGGGCTTAGCGCCCCCACGGCCCGGTCCTCGACCAGGCCTCCTTTCTGTTACACATTCCCAGGAAGTAGCGCGTTGCAGCTGTCTAACTCACAGGTACCTATTTATTGCTTGGTGAACAGGGGCATCAGGGTGAAAGAAACTGCCTATTTGTTTCCGCCTCCGCCGGGGATAGAACCCGGAACCTTAGGACTACGAATCCTGAACGCTGTCCACTCAGCCGTCAGGCCCCTGTAATTATTTATCTGAATTTACCTGAGGGCCACTAACACACTAGTACCCTCGACGAGGATAGGAAGCCGGCGGTTTGTCAAAAGGCCCCCATTTGCTCTGATGATTTTTTCCAGCTGGATTTTAAAATTTAGCAGAGTTTAGCATTTGCGGCTTCGGCGGGTAAGCGGTTCCATGGGTTTATAACCCTGTGAGTGAAAAAAAAACATAATTTTCAGTCCTACATTTTACTTCACTGTGATGTCCAAAGGACTTGGAAAGGATGGGGGAGGAAGAGGGATGGGTAAGTGAAATTCTGTAAGAGGATTTGAGTGTAGAGAGAGAGAGAGCTTTCAAAGTTCGGTGGCCTGTCCACCATGGGTTGGCATGAGGTCTGGGTCGTTTGTTTGGATGTGTGATATGTAAGGTTGTCCGTGTATTGGCTGGGGTGGCCAGTGTGTGTGTCCAAGCTGTGGTCTAGTAACCTTTTAGCCGGTGGAGTTGGCTTCATTGAATTGCCTATCCTGTACTGTTGATTGGGTTATTATATTTGTTTAACCAACTGTACGTCAGGTATCTAATGCTTGTGTTTGCTCTAACAAAATTTAAATCTTGCTAAATTTTTATTGTCGTGTATTTTCATGCTAGAAAGAGATTTTATTTTGGTTTGCAATCTTTTAAAATATATTCAGCTGTCAAATTTTCATCACAATACTTGCAAAGATTTCATTCTTTTACTTTCTGTCAACGCCTTTTATTCCATTCTAAGAAAATAGACAGACAGTTTATTTTCTTTACCTGCTTTCTGGTTACATTTTCAATGCCTTAATTGCCTTAAATTTGACGATGACTTAATTTCTAGTAGGACAACTAATCTATTTTCAGTATGATGTTGCTTTTTCATCAGCTCTTAATTTTTTCTTATGTTACTGTATATCGTTATCAATTAACCCCACGTGGCTCGATGCCCTGCATATGTGGAATCTGACTTGTATTATAGTACCATTCGTGTATATCTTATGTGCACTGTATTTGATGTGGTTATATTTCTATCATGTCATTACAGCACTCCTAGTTCTAATGACTATGAGTGCTGTAAAGTGAGCGCCCTAGTACTAGGTCACAAATTGAATACAATTTACAATTTTTTTTATACAATTTTAAATCAGAATTCGGACTAGGAGGCCAACAATTAAATTTAGTAATTATATAACGTTAACACGTCTATTTAAGACATTATACGTGGTTAACATTGTTGCTATAATTGACAAGGTTGTCACTATAATGGACAAGGTTGTCACTATAATGGACCAGGTTGTCACTATAATGGACCAGGTTGTCACTATAATGGACCAGGTTGTTACTATAATGGACAAGGTTATCACTATAATGGACCAGGTTGTCACTATAATGGACCAGGTTGTTTCTATAACGGACCAGGTTGTCACTATAATGGACCAGGTTGTCACTATAATGGACCAGGTTGTCGCTATAATGAACAACGCTGTCACTATAATGAACAACGCTGTCACAATAATGAACAACGCTGTCACTATAATGAACAACGCTGTCACTATAATGAATAACGCTGTCACTATAATGAACAACGCTGTCACTATAATGAACAACGCTGTCACTATAATGAACAACGCTGTCACTATAATGAATAACGCTGTCACTATAATGAACAACGCTGTCACTATAATGAACAACGCTGTCACTATAATGAACAACGCTGTCACTATAATGAACAACGCTGTCACTATAATGAACAACGCTCTCACTATAATGAACAACGCTGTCACAATAATGAACAACGCTGTCACTATAATGAACAACGCTGTCACTATAATGAATAACGCTGTCACTATAATGAACAACGCTGTCACTATAATGAACAACGCTGTCACTATAATGAACAACGCTCTCACTATAATGAACAACGCTGTCACTATAATGAACAACGCTCTCACTATAATGAACACCGTTGTCACTATAATGAACAACGTTGTCACTATAATGAACAACGCTGTCACTATAATGAACAACGCTGTCACTATAATGAACAACGCCCTCACTATAATGAACAACGCTCTCACTATAATGAACAACGCCCTCACTATAATGAACAACGCTCTCACTATAATGAACAACGCTCTCACTATAATGAACAACGTTGTCACTATGAAGCCGAATTCAATATTTAAAGCCCAATCGGCATAGACGCAGATTTATCTTTGAGAATAGACATAATGGCGTCTGGAACGTATCGCTCATTTGAATAATCTTACTTATTTGCGCTCTATTATAATTATCTTATGCATTATCGTGAGGTTCTTCACTATGAAGAAGGGCATGACACCTCCAAGATCTTCCCGGCGTCTTAAGGGTCTTGCACCTGCCGACAGACGCCAGCCATCGTGGCGGCTCTTATTGTCTCTACATAACTCACTCAGGCCATGATAATTCACCGCTAACTCGGCACTAGCACCTTGGAAACCCACTACACCACAACACACAGCCTGATATAGGCCTATATAGTTCATTAGGTACATAATAAGAGCGAGAAGAGAGAGAGAGAGAGACAACTTACTTGCTGTGTGGAGCCCGTCGCCGGCCGCCGCTTGACCACAGTTGCCAGCTCCTCGTCCCACCTTCACCTTCCAGAACTCTCTCCTTCTCTAACCTCTACTTCCATTTTATTCAATGATATTCAAACTATACGAGCTGAAGAAAAATTAGTTCATTTATTAATTCATTTTTGTTTTTCATAAATATGTGGTTTATAAAATATTTGTAACGTTAATTTAATTAGGAAAGGTGTATTTCCTCATAAGGTGTTTGACACTTAAAAATGATCAAAAACGCTTATATATATATATACACATATATATATATATATATATATATATATATATATATATATATATATATATATATATATATATATATATATATATATATATATATATATATATATATATATATATATATATATATATATATTGTACGGTATATCACATATTCAAAATCTTACATCAAATCCTTCACAAATAATATCGCTAAAGTTAAAAAAGTTTCATTAGCGTCGTACTGGTGTTATTTGTTTTATTAAACATTTGCAGCCTGTGCGAAAAGTATTAATATTAAAAACATTAATTGTAACGCCATTTTAGTATTTAATTATTTTGCCATTAAAATTTCATACGCCAATACTGACAAATAATTTACTAACATTTATTTATGACATATTTGACATATTATTTATAACTTAAAAGTGATATTGTCGCCTAATTTAATAAAAATAATGCTTAAACTCTAATTTTTAATATTTCGAACCCTATAAATTGTAGATATGGCAATACTGTCAATTTACTAACGTCTGCATATATTATTATTCTTAAGTGATATTTTTAACAAGCTTTATAGACTTACTCATGTCTCTATGGTGTATTTCACTTTATTATTTAGGGAATTGCTGTAAGCAGGTGCTCTTGTTGACATGTTCATATTTCAATGACAGTCCCTGTTATGTCCCGCCAAAACACCTTTGCAGTTAGTATAGGCCTACCACATTCAGTTATGGAAATATTATAGACCCTGAGGTTTCAATGAGGAATTTATAAATGAGTAGTGAGCATTTGTTTCCTGGTTTCCATTATTTGAGCTCATCATGTGGGTTTAGGAAACTAGGCTGCGTTTTGGTGATCTAAGTTTTAAATTATTTTCAGATGATACTGATATCCAACGATTTCATAACTATCATTTTTAGGAGGATAGGATCCATTCTATCCTCCTAAAATGACAGTGCATATAGCAACTATTTGGTCAAACGTACAAAAAAGTACTGTTCGACCCTGAGAAAGCTATCATAACCTAAGGCTTAGGCAGTCTTAGGCCTAATATATGCTATCTTAGTCCTAATAAAGTTAATATATGCTTACATTTGGTTTTGGATAGTTTCTCCGTTCCCTCTACAAAGTTAACAATAGATCTTAATTAAATTTAACGTGAACCTTAATGAATCTTAAATTAATCAATCTTAATTAAATTGCACGTTAATTTGTTTAGGTGTCCAATGTTCCATTTTTGTAAGTTCAACAAAATATTTGCTCTACATTCATTTTAGGGAGATGGCCTGTTATCACATGGATGTACGTAAGTTAAGGCAAACACCAAGAGAGAAAGTGCTAAGCCATTACGACTATATAGCACTTGGAATGAATGTAAGAATAAGGAGTTGAGATAGGACAGAGGGAAGGAATGGTGCCAAACACATGGGCGGTCGGGGGATTGAACACCGACCTGCAAGAAGTCGGTGTTCTTGCCACCGACAAGAAGTCGGTGAACTGGACGATATACCGTCCTGTAAGAGTTGTTGGATGTATACGTAGAAACAATTATTTTGCAATTTTCGGCACATGTGATGAAATAGACAGCTTCATTATACTAAAAAAAGATCTAGTTCACTACCATTTATTTGCAAATTACTTTAGACTTAATTACAATGCAAGCTTATTTGCCATCATAGCCGGTTATATTATCTTTTGCTCGGTTATATTTGAATTTGAATTATAAGTAATGTCATTGTAGCGTTTAAATTGTAAATTATGTAAACATTCAACTGAGCACACATGGTTGCTTTCATCTGCTTGGCTGATTGATGTCCACTTCAGGTGTTGTAGTGAGCGTTATGGTGGTTTATGTGGGGCTGTAGTGTGAGTTATAATGGTTTAGGTGAGTGACAGTAGAGTGTGTTAAGAGGAATATGGTGTGAACAGAAGTGTGGGCTATGGTGGTTTAGGTGAGAGGCAGTAATGTGGGGCAATGGTGGTTTATTTAAGGGGCAGTAGTGTGAGCAATTGTGGTTTAGGTGAGAGGCGTAGTGTGGGCTATGGTGGTTTAGGTGAAAGGCAGTAGTGTGTGCTATGGTGATTTAGGTGAAAGGCAGTAGTGTGGGCTATGGGGGTTTAGGTGAGAGGCAGTAGTGTGGGCTATGGAGGTTTAGGTGAGGGGCAGTAGTGTGAGCAATTGTGGTTTAGGTGAGAGGAAGTAGTGTGGCCAATAGTGGTTTAGGCGACAGGAGGTAGTGTGGGAAATGGTGGTTCAGGTGAAAGGCAGTAGTGTAAGTTTACGGTGAGAGTCAAACAGTGTATAAGAGCCGCCGGAAATCAAAATAATTTTGAAGAAATTTGTCAAATTATATGCTAGTGAACAACACAACTTTTTATATATGCAAATTTAAAAATTTTCATAATATAAATATCAAATATTGGAAAATAATTGGTTATACGTGTATTCATAGATATTTGAAAATAATGTGAAAGTTAAATCACAACATTGCAGCCTATTTCCTAATGTCACATGTTCGGGGGTGGGAAACTTTCATTACTAATTTATATAGTTTTCCATGAACGCTGAGGGGTCCTTATTGTTTTCTCTAATTGGTTATTGTAGGCCTAAACAAATTAGGAGCGTGTCTTGGCGGGAAATAACATTGGGGGAGGAGAATCAAAATAAAAACTTGTGTTGCTAAAATTATGAAAATCTGAATAGAAGTTATGTATATACTGTAACCGTTTCCAGACTTAATATAAAGTAAACTATAGCGAAGTGAAATCAAGTCTTCAAGTTAGATAAAAAAAAATATTACTTTAAAATAATATTTATTAGATGCTCAGACGCTTGTGGATTGGTGGGCAGTATTGCCATATACACATTTTATATGAAGCCCCCCCAAAAAAAAATAACAAAATTAATAACTCTAAACTATCATTTAAATTTACTTTTTGATTAGTAGTGTGATTTAAATATGATGAAAAAGTTAAATTGCAAAAAATACCTTGAAGGGGTTCATCTCCAATGGAAATTTATTAAATGATTTGCAGTTAATGTACAGGATTTTTAAAAGTGATGTACCATACTATATAGTGAATGGTTTGCTTAAAACTCGTTTAAATGCTTTCCTTCAAAGTCTTTGGAAAAGAGGCAGGCTATTACATTAAAATATTTAAACGTTTGTGATAATTTTGAAGTGTCAAACACCTTATAAACAAACCTATCTCTTCTGAATTAAATTGAACATTACAAATATTTTATGAACCACATATTTATGAAAAATAGGTAATGAAATTAATTAATAAATGAGCAAGTTTTCTTCAGCTCGTATAATTTGAATATTATTGAAAAAATGGAAGTAGAGGTTAGAGAAGGAGAGAGTTCTGGAAGGTGAAGGTGGGACGAGGAGCTGGCAACTGTGGTCAAGCGGCGGCCGGCGACGGGCTCCACACAGCAAGTAAGTTGTCTCTCTCTCTCTCTCTCTTCTCGCTCTTATTATGTACCTAATGAACTATATAGGCCTATATCAGGCTGTGTGTTGTGGTGTAGTGGGTTCCCAAGGTGCTAGTGCCGAGTTAGCGGTGAATTATCCTGGCCTGAGTGAGTTATGTAGAGACAATAAGAGCCGCCACGATGGCTGGCGTCTGTCGGCAGGTGCAAGACCCTTAAGACGCCGGGAAGATCGTGGAGGTGTCATGCCCTTCTTCATAGCGGTCTTCAAAGAAAACAAAAATATCAGGCCATTAAACTCTTTGCTCTCATAATGGAATAAGTAGATAAACATATTTGCAATGAAATTTGAGGTTCGGATGCTAAGAATGTAACTGAAGAAAAACTTTCTCCATGCTGGCCGATGTTTCTTGAAAGAAGACCATTAAGGTCACTATTATCTTTTGTACTTATCAACCGAGTATTAACTTCTCATTTACTAATTAACATTTACAGGCTCAGACTCTTGTACCATATGATCGTATGGTCAGAAAAAGTTCTTAAATATTTTTACTGTATTTTTGTATCACATTAACTTGCTTCTTTCGTCAAACTAACTTGCATCCTCCATCAAAAGCGGCATATACTGTTTAATAGGTCCTCTAAATGTCTATTCTGCATATAGCGATTATGCAATCTATTAAATTGTATATTTATATTTATATTTACAAATTACAAATATAATATTAATTCTCAAATAAAATATGAAGAGCATGAAGATCGACAATGGGTTATGACCCTCCTGAATCCTGCCAGGACGAGTACCTGACAATTATATTGACCAAGCGTTTGATATATTGTCCTAATACACGTGTCAAGGCTGTCACAAGTCTCTTTGTTAACTGAAGACTAGTCAAGGAGAAATCTAAATCTAAGGCAAATCTATGTGATGTCGAAAACATGCACATTTGTATTTTAATGCAGTTTATCGAGATATACTGGACATTTAATATTTAAATGCTGATTTTAAAAGATAAAAAGTGTTTACCAATTATAAAAACTTTTATATCTATCATTTTAACACTAGCAGAGAGTTTTGCATATAATTTCTTTATCAGTTGTAATTAGTATTTGCTTTGTTATCATTTTAATTAACACATCTAAATTTCTTCATAAAAGAACGGGTTTTTCTATATCTTTGTCAGTCACACTGTAGCAAGTATACTTATCACTTTGATATATTCTGACAAAAATATGCACGAAAAACAAATACTGCTCATTAATTGCATAAATGTCTCAAACTACTACCTATGTTTTATGTAATTAATACCTGGATACTATGTAGCCAGCATGGCATTCTTATTGCCCATCTTCTACTTTATCAGTCACAGGACTGTACACTATTAATCTGTCAATCTTGTTATTCCGTAATCTCATTCTCTAGGCTGTCTTAACAAATTAAGACTGAATTAAATATCTTTCTCACTACTGTCGTCAGATGGAAGATAAGCTAGTCAGACCTACGTGCTGTTGCACACTTATTGGATGACTGTTACCAGAGATTAAATATCTTTCAGCCTTTTTATACTAGAGATGAAAGAGAGGACAGAAAAAATGAGACACAATATACAGGAGAAACGTAGAGATTAAAAAAGTTAATAAGAGAAGAATGCGGAGAGTGAGAGGTTAGGAGTGAGTTGGGAGAGTGAAGGAGATAAGAGATATGAAGAGTGAGATAAAGATAGCAAGAAGGGAAAAAAGAGAGAAAGAGAGAGAGCGGGGAAAGGTAGGAAGGGTAAGAAAATCAGTTATTATTATTAACATCTTTATTGACAAAATTTAATTACAATTTTGCCTAATCTGAGGATTTCAATTAAGTCTTATTAAAGTGAGGATAATGCTGGTATTCACTGTCACACAGGACAGAGGGTCATATATAAGACAATAGGTCTAAACCATAGGCTGAAGCACATATATATCATGGTTACTATCAATGTTTTAATGAATGAATATGTAAAATCAACTTTCTATTGAGCACTGCCACACAAGGTCAGGGATGGGTTCATAAGAGATGCAACTGAAAAATAATATAAATAAAATTGTTCTTCATTCTTTATTATGGAAAGCAAATTTTGGATAAATTGTTAGGATGTCAAGTACACCATATTCAATGAAATAGTTACACAGTTGGTGGTACAATAGAGCAGAAGGGTCTAAAGTCTTTGACGGTTTCACATTCAACAATATAGTGTTGTAGTGAATGCATTAAAGGTTTGTCACAGAGTTTGCAATCTCAATATTCTGGTAGTGGCTGAGCCTCACTAACCTGCCAGATGTGCTTATAGCCAAGTCGAATTCGCGCAATGAATACATCATATTGCCTGGTCCGGTTATTATTACTACAAAAGTTGTCATAGCTTTTAATACTGCAGCTTTCATTTCTTTAGGCATTTCTTAGTTCTTCTAAATTTGAATTAATTTCTTTAATTTGTATGTTTCTAATAATTGCATTAGATAGTCCAATGTCACAATCAGTGTTTTCTTTCCTGCAAGCCTCATTGATCAATCCATCTACAAAGTCATGTTTTCCAACTCCAAAATAGGATGGGATCCACACAAATTTTATGCAATAGTTATTATCATTGGCAAAAATTCCATTGCATTTAATATAACAAGCTACTTCAGACATACATTGTGATAGGTTATTTAGGGATTGCAAAGCACTTTTAGAGTCACAGAATATCACTCCACCACCATTGAGCTTAAGATACTCTGGCTAGATAAATAACCAATAGCTCAGTCTGTGTCGTGCTTGCCCAGTTGTTCAGTCTCTGTGTACTAGACATGATCATTTCATTCCCTTTATATACTGCACATGCACAACCTGTTCTACCAGTGCCTAATTGCACAGAGCCATCAGTAAAGGCATAGGATTCAGCTGGTTTGAGAGTTTGAAGATGACTGTCAATAGCTTTTAATGTTATTCATAAAACTGTTCACTATATTCTCCATTGGAAAGATGTGCAAGTCTCTCTACATTATACCCCCCATCAGTGTCAAACAAATGTACAACACTGAAACTACGAGAAAATCAGTAGGGAACCATGAGTAGGATTCGAACCCTCTCACTTGGTACTCCCAAGTTAGCGCCCTAGACCACTATCCATTATTCAAATTCTCAAAGCTTCTATTGATTTTCTCACTGATGTATCACTTTAATAGTGATTTCATTGTGCATAGGACGGATGAGGTGAGTGTGTGCTTAGGGGGGGGGGAGAAGGAACAAGTGCATTTGTGCAAGAAACGAGCATGTACGCTAAAGTAAAAATACAAAATTTCATTATGTACACACATAAACGTCAAATTAAAAAGAAGCCGTACAAAGTCACAACAAATGCCGGTTAAACATGCAACACGACCATTCGTTTTGTCGAGGGACAGGCAGCCTGTGTATGCATATGCGTTAGACTGGTATCGAGTTTCCCCTCCAAGGTCAAACTACAGACCTTCCCCAAGATGCTCTACAACAGTTGACTTAACTTCCGGTAACCAATTTATTGCTATGTGAACTGGGACATTAGGTAAAAGGAAACTTGCCAAATGTTTTAATGAACAATACCGGTCTTTCCCAACCGGTATTCATACCCTGTATTCCCAATTGTGAGTCGAAAACGAATCCAACTGTACTAGTGAGATCCCAGATACGTACAGAAAATATGTATAGGAAAAACTAACCCCACAAATATTTAAAAAATCATATATAAATTGAAATATGGAATAAAACAAGTATACATTGAAAAATGCAATAAAACAGGTATAGCATACACAAAAAGTGATAACATGTGACACAATATGAAGTCAATTACTCTATTTATTAGAATTGCATTGCATATTAGAGTTTACATTAGCCTAGCACTTTGTCTTGTACAGTATTACTTCTATATTGTTTTTATCTATTACAAGAAAAGTGTTGATGCATTGCGAGGATTTCTGGCATATTTATTACATGGCATAGCGCCGTAGATAAGTACAGTACTTGGTCAGCCAGTTTAAAGCGGCTTTGGGGTCTAGCCAGTAATAGACTAGACCCCAAATTGTTATTCCATATTTCATATTTCAATCTTAGGGTATCATACACAAGTCGAATAGCGGTGAACAGCCAAGAGCCATCAGATAATGTTGAGTGCAAATTTGATCCAGCAGGTCCATTGTTTCCCACAATTAACTATAATGTAGTGTGGACTAAGTAGTCCTACACTACTTGTCACACAAAGTTAGTAGACAAGAAGTGGGCAAGTAAAAAAAGAAAGTAGAATGGGAAGATGTCACTTTTTGAATACGCCCAGGACCAATATATTTATATATATTTTTTTAAGTTTCTTATGTAAAGATAAAGCTATCCATTTCACTATGTATGAGTTAATATTTTTTAATTTGAGTTAAAACTAATGTAGATATATGACCGAACCTAACCGACCCTACCTAACCTAACCTATCTTAATCTAACCAAAACTAACATAACTAAGTCAATAATTTATGTTCTTAATATAATATAAAAATAATATTTCAAATATACCAACTGGAAACAATTAATTGAAAATACAGTAAATCACTCGGCCTATTAGGCAAATCGGGCCTTGCATAGTAGGCCGAGAAGTGCGTTCTGGCTACTAGGTACGATATATATATATATATATATATATATATATATATATATATATATATATATATATATATATATATATATATATATATATATATATATACATATATACATATATATATATATATATATATATATATATATATATATATATATATATATATATATGTTGTACCTAGTAGCCAGAACTCACTTTTTGGCCTACTATTCAAGGCCCGATTTGCCTAATAAGCCAAGTTTTCCTGAATTAATATATTTTTTCAATTTTTTTCTTATGAAATGATACAGCTACCCATTTCATTATGTATGAGGTAAAAAAAAATTTATTGGAGTTAAAATTAACGTAGATATATGACCGAACCTAACCAAACCTACCTAACCTAACCTAACCTATCTTTATAGGTTAGGTTTGGTTAGGTAGCCGAAAAAGTTAGGTTAGGTTAGGTTAGGTAGGTTAGGTAGTCGAAAAACAATTAATTCATGAAAACTTGGCTTATTAGGCAAATCGGGCCTTGCATAGTAGGCTGAGAAGTGCGTTCTGGCTACTAGGTACGACATATATATATATATATATATATATATATATATATATATATATATATATATATATATATATATATATATATATATATATATATATGTCGTACCTAATAGCCAGAACGCACTTCTCAGCCTACTATGCAAGGCCAAATTTGCCTAATAAGCCAAGTTTTCATGAATTAATTGTTTTTCGACTACCTAACCTACCTAACCTAACCTAACCTAACTTTTTCGGCTACCTAACCTAACCTAACCTATAGAGATAGGTTAGGTTAGGTTAGGTAGGGTTGGTTAGGTTCGGTCATATATCTACGTTAATTTTAACTCCAATAAAAAAAAATTGACCTCATACATAATGAAACGGGTAGCTTTATCATTTCTTAAGAAAAAAATTAGAGAAAATATATTAATTCAGGAAAACTTGGCTTATTAGGCAAATTTGGCCTTGCATAGTAGGCTGAGAAGTGCGTTCTGGCTATTAGGTACGACATATATATATATATATATATATATATATATATATATATATATATATATATATATATATATATATATATATATATACACAAAATCATGTAATTTGAACATTAGCAGTGGTTTGTATAATTTAGATACATTTTTGATTGATAAGTTAAAGGCCGATTTGAGTAGGGTCATTGATACACATTTGTGTCACTAATATCTTGTTAATATCCACTATCCAATGATATTAAAATGTATACCAAGTTTTTAAAGCCAGTATAAAAACTTATTTAGGCCTAGAACATATAAGCCTAAATATGCAATCTTAGAGTATAAATAAGCATATTGACTATAAAATTAAAACATATATGTTTAAGAGCTAGTATGTTTCAGAATTTTTTATCCCCTTTAGAAGTCCAATGTTGTACATTTCATCCATAGTAGCTATAGAGACTTGTCACTTTTTATAGGATAGGTTGGAATCCAAAAGTAACACAGCTGGCTAAAGTAATGTAATAACCCAAGTAACTGTATTGGATAGGGAACCCAGTGGGTCAGTATTAGACGCAAGACTTCTGTTGCAGAAAAATATGCAACGAAACGAAAGAGCTATATGTTTTTCTGTCTCACATGGTCAACGTTAGTGACTTCAGCTCAGAGAATGATTCAAATTGTAAATCTGGCAAAGAATTCCTCTTAAATAAATAGTTAAATCACTCCCACATGAGGCTAATCTTGATACCTTTATGAATATTTAACTTTGTTTATTTTGGTCTACACTCTGTAGCATATCCAGCAATATTTTCAATAATGTACAACAAAAAAAACTTTACCTTTTTTTTTAATTTTAATCGTTAAAATACAGGTTCTTTATGTCCAAATAATCAGAAAACCGTATACAAATGTAAGTTGGAATTTCTTTAGTTCCTTAAAAGCACATTTTTCTTTCCCTAACTTTAATACATTCTAGCCTACCTCAGAAACAGAAAATAAAGGTAGACTCCGTTATTTGGCAGTTCCCGAGAGCTAATCAAACTTGTGTTTAGACGAGATCATTTTCAAGAGAAAACGCTAAGCTAGAGTGACTATATACCACGTAGAAACGATATGAAATCTAATTGCCAATTATTTGTCAATCGATCCAATTATTTGGATCGTCGGGAACTGACGGTAGCAAGGTCTCTGCTGTACCTGGCTTTGTTTACACTGCATTGCTCTATCTGAAAGCTCGCAAATATTCAAATGCTTTGTTGAACATTTGGTCAAAAGTCAGAGCTGAAAGCCACAATTTCAGATTTAGAGTTCAACCTGGCAAAGTTTCTGTTTTGGTGGGCTCTTTATTTCTTCAGTTTTTAACTTTTATATAAATGTATTTTTAATTATCGATATTTTCATTTTTTTGTCATAGTTCAAGAGTTTGTGTAAAATTTATGTTATATCATAAGAGAGTAATGTTATGTAATTAACAATTCTTTTCAGTGGCTGCTTGAATGAAATCAGAAGATACATCCGGAAATAAATCGCCTCTGAAGTCGCTTAGCCATTTCAACGGGACAGCTATGTCCTCTGATAAGACAACTATAATGTCCGCGGATAAGACAAGTACCATGTCCACGGATAAGACAACTACTATGTCCACGGATAACACAGCTATGTCCACGGATAACACAACTATGTCCACGGATAAGACAAGTACCATGTCCACGGATAAGACAACTGCCATGTCCACGGATAAGACAAATATGATACCCATGGATAAGACAAATGCCATGTCCATGGATAAGACAACTGCCATGTCCACGGATAAGACAACTGCCATGTCCTCGGATAAGACAACCACCATATCCTCGGATAAGACAACCACCATATCCTCGGATAAGAGCTCGTCCATATCTTCAGTTGAGAGAACGCCCATGCATTCATATGAAACTACTCTCATGTCATTAAGTGAAACAACTTCCAACTCTACATTAAACAAAATGGAGTGTGTATTTGGTGTCTTGTATAACTGTGTGACACGGGCTGGAGAGCTGGTCATTACTGATGTACTCAAAGTTCTCTATTCTCAGCAGTACATCAAATCTTGTAGTGGAAACATGTCTGTATTCGATTATTGCATTACGAATAAACACTGGAGTCCCGAAAGAACTCAGAACAAGTTTGAATATAGTGAATATCTTACATGCAATATTAGAACGCAGAAAACAGTGGATGTAAATTTTGCATTCAAAGTTATTGTGGAAATATGTGGCAATGCATTTGACTGGTTGGATCCAGATTGCAGGAGCCAAATCAAGTTGGTAAAAAATTACAAGTACAGGATTTGCAAAAATTACGGGCAAAATTACCCTGAACTTAGAGCTGAACTGCACAAATTTTGGAAGATAATTAGAAATATCTATGCACAGGTTAGTCAGGAATTCAGAACTGACTTTAAAGAAAGCCTGAACGAGGTTTTAAGAACGCTACAACTGTCTGAACAAAGTATGGTTCAAAGTCAAGGTTTGTCATTAGACAAAGAAATTTTTAATAAATTTTCAAGTGACACGGAAGTTCGTAAGCTAATTATGGCTCAGAGAGAACTATCAGATCACCACAAGAAGTTACAAGTGGCAAATCCTTTCACCTGGACAGATGACCAGTGCTACCAAAGTTCTAAAGGTGAAGTCGTTGCTAAACTGGTTACAAACGAAATTTACACACCATTGGGTATTGGCGGCACTGAAACAAAAGTTAGCATGAATCAGGTGCTGAAAGCTACCAAGAGGATAGCGGAAGAAGAGGTAATAACTCCAGTTTTGATAATAAATGGCGTTGAAGGTTCAGGAAAGACGACTATCTGCTACAATCTTGTGCAAAATTGGCTTGGAAGATCAGGCATAATTGATGATCTCGATAATTTTGATTTAGTGTTTCTTATTGAACACAGCAAAGTTAAGTCTAGGCTTTTTAAAAATGTAATGAAGGAACAGATGTTGCCTAAAACTTGCAGAGATTTCAAAATAGAGAAAATTCTTCAGTTTATGATGGGACTGGAAGTAGTTTTTATTATAGACGGATATGATGAAACAACTAGAGATACCTTTCCCATTGTTGAGGAAATATTTGAGCATTTTAGCAACAAACGCATTATATTGACGACGCGACCAGACTCACTTGGAGCCACCACAGCTCTCATGTTCAAAAATCATGTTAACTTCCATACCATTGAAGTATCAGAACTTGATGATCTCTCACAAATTAGATTGGCTAAAGCTATTTACAAGCATATGTGTAGCGATCGTAAAATTGAGAGAACACTGTTGAATAAATTTGTTGATTATCACCATAGAGGTGCTGGGAGGAACATTCTAGGTCATCTGAGACTTCCACTCACTGCTGCTCTTTATATGGTCCATTGGAGAACTGGTAAGATTAAAGTGCAAACAGGAACTGAACTACATGATGCTTTATTCAACAAAAGCACAGAAAAGTTGGAAAATCGCAAAGGCACGACCAGTGTAAATGACAAAGACATATTGTATCACGTATTGCCTAAGTTATTAGGAAAGTCAGCATGGATGCTTCTCAAGAATAAAATGTATACTCTGCAAGAAAGCATGGTAGATGAAATACGAGAATCCGTAAAGGGTCTTAATGTTGATCTTATTGACGTGCTACTACCATATCTAACATGTAACTCCAACCACTATTCACAACCTACTACGAGAGAGCTTTCTTTTATGAACAGACCTCAACAGGCATATTATGCCTCCAGATTCTTAACGGAATGCATAACAGAAAAGAAAACTACTGTCCGAGATATTGAACAGCAAGTGAGTAACTGGAAAGACTTTAGTTTTGTTCTTTTATTTCTTATTGGACATTTGACCTCTCATGAAAAAATGGACAAAATGATTGTGAAACAAGTACTAAATATTATCTATAATGCAGGTTTTACTGCTGAAAGTTACAGCTATTGGTGGGACCTCTATGTTGAGAGTAAGGGTGATGAAACTGTTACAGATTTCATTGTCGAAAGATTTTTACCTAAATCTCATTGGGTAGTAAATGACAAGACTGTTGTTCCTGCTCTTAAACTCCTTGGGTCTTGTCCAGTTAACCTTAAAAGTTTGAAGATTGACATTCCTAATACCATCGATCCTTTTGATATCCCAGAATTCCTAAGTATTATGGAGAGTTTTCCAACCAAATTAGAAGGGAGATATGGGAAGCACAAACAAATTGAAGTAGAGTTGCACTTTTGGCATCATGATGAAACAGGAAGTACTGAGCCGTCTGACAAGTTTCTCCGTACGCTACACCCGTGGGGCATGTTGGTAAACTTCACGGGTGAGCTTGGGGAACAGGAAGAAGGAAAAGAGTTGATCTGTAAGGCAAATAATTCCAGAACTATACGTGCTCGACTGAAAACGCCTGGGGCGCTCAGAACCCTGAAGGTCATCGCCAAGCAACTGTCTCCACTCTGCCGGGTAGTTCGCATCACCATTGCCATTCCTGAAGGATACAACCCAGCAACTTTCTCAGAACTTGACTGCCCAAATCTAGAACTTAATTTTAAAGAAATCTCCAATGAAAATACGGAATGGATAATTAAGGCCATTAAAAGTATTGGTGGAAGGTAAGGTAAACCTGTTTGTTATTTTTATTAAGCATACTATATAAATATATAGTGTCATGCTGACAGTGTATTTAATGTTTCAAATTATGTTAAATAATGACACTACAGGCGATAATCTTTATAATTTAATCTAGTTTTTATTGTCAAGTAGCTTAGGCACCCGACAATGACTATTAGAGTGCGACTTCGTACTACACTTTTCAACATTGTGAAGGTGGTCCCCAGGGGTACTGTTTTAAGCAACACTCTTTTTTTTTCCTGGTTGCCCTTAATGATCTTCCTACCTTCCCACCGGATTATTCTCAGCACTTTATGTCCAAGATCTCACACTGCTGTGGTGGTGACGATTTCTCCTGTATCCAGCGCTCACTCTAACTTGTAATTTATAGCATGTCGTCCTCAGCTTCGAGTCACGGCTTCAAGTTCTCGCCAATTAAGACTAGTTGGTGAGGACTAGTTATATACATAGGAGGGCTAGCACTTTTACTCTGAAGGTTTTCATTCCTCATCTCCTTGTGTCCTATGGACATTTCCTTCTTTATAAGGATATTTTTAAACTCTTGGTGTTGATCTTTCAAACCCGGTTGTCTTGGTTGCCCTATATATCTCAGCTCCATATTGAATGGTCTAAAGCCTTTTACTTAAAAGTCTTGCCTCGTACTTCCAGGGAAGCAGATAGATGCACAATCCTCTTGCTCTGTATAAACTAGACTATGACTTCCTCTTTTATTCTGCTTCTCCCTCGACCTTCTGTCGCCTCATGGTTTTGCATCATTCGGACTATGCCTCAGCCTTGTTGGCTTTCGTGCATCCCCTGTTTAGACCTTATATGTTGAAATTCTCTCTTGGTACAAGTCTTACAATATGCCCCCGCCCCCCATCCTCATGTGGATCCTTCTTTGCTGCCGTGAAGGGTCCCACGTGAAATTTTGCATGTCCTTGAACCGCATAGGAGGGCTTATATCACTCTTACTGTTACGAAACTCCTTTTCCTTGAGCAGTTTTCTTCTCATTCACACACTCATGCTTTATTCACAGACGTGTCCCTAGTCTGCCGACAAGGTTCGGCTACTTCGATGTTTTTCCACATCAAACCTACATGTGCCACCTGTTCCCTGAGAGTAGCATCTTGAATGTTATGTAATTTTGTAACTACTTTTAACGTTCCTTTGTCATAATGGTTGACTTTCAGAACCCTTATGGCTCTGGAATCTTTTTATCCCTTACATCCTGATATGGTCAAAATCCAATACTGGCCATTTCTTATATTTAGCAAATTTAGGAGAGCTGAATTCTGCTGGGTACCTAGACATATTGTGTTACATTAAATGAACTTGTTGACATCATTGCTAAGAATGTAATGCTGGTTCCGGAAAGGGATATCTTATTTAGATTTCTACCCAGTCATTCATTCCACAATTCGCAACCATTGCCAAAGTCTATGGTCTCGTATTTCGGCTAACAAACTGCTCATTCTGAAAGGTTGTCTGTCCCCCATGGCCTATCTTTTACTACTGAAATTGGCGGTGAGAACCTGTTCTAACTGCTGCATATTAGCCACACAGAGTTAGCTCATGGATATTTAATGGACCGGTGCTTTACTCCTAATTGTCTGAACTGCATTGCCACTTTATAGTAATGCATCTTCTTACTGAATGTCCAGATATTCAAGGTGACGTAAGTCTTACTTTCCAAATGTCCCTCTGGGTTACTTGTTCCTTGTTAGTCCTTGGTAAATCCTATATATTTGATGTTGCTCGCTTTATGTCTTTTTTGTTCTCGTATTCACATCGTGAATGCTATTTTGTGTTTTTTTTTTTGTAATATTCCGCGACACAGACGGTACTACATAGTCTTCCCAACTTGGTGCCTTCTTTTGATAATTGAATATTTTGTTTAAAATAAGAAATATTAGCATTTAGCAAGCCTTAATGGTTTGTGATGGATATTGTTAGGAGATTAACTAATGTGTCATTAATGATGATTGTTTGCAGAAAAGGCATCTGGAGGGCATGTTTCAACACCTGCACCTTGGACATTGAGGCCCAAGCAAACCTCTTAAAGAGTCTCTCTGGCATCATAATTGACAAGTTATCAATCCGCACCATCATGGATGTTGATAAAGATCAAAAGAAAAAGTTACAAGCCACTGCTTCGTTTACTGTCAACTGGATGTAATGCAGAGTACTTCCTGGAGGATGATTAAGTAATGATGGCATCATTACTTAAGCCATCTTTGTGGATATTGATGAAGACCAAGAGAAAAAGTTGTAAGCCAATGCTACTTTTACTGTCAACTGGAGTACTGTACTTACTGGAGGCCCAGAACCCCAGTTCTGACAAAGAATCTCGGGCATCATTACTTAACAAGTTGTAAAGTTGTTCCTTCGTGGATATTGATGAATACCAATAGCAGGTTGAAACGCCTTGCTATTTTTATAGTCAATTGGATATATAGTAATTTATCTTTCAGTTTAAGGGTAAAAAAATTTCGTCTGCAAACTTACAAAAAAGTTTAATATTAGATATCGTTACATTCATCACCAAATATATTGGGACTTATTTGCATGGTTATCAAAGATATCTTTGCAGATGCTGTGTAAACAAATCATTATATTTATATTAAAGGGCTGTGATTCTTGTGAAGCAAACCATTAGAACTATGCTTTAATTTTCATATTTCCTATTCGAAAAATGTTACATTTATTTTGTCTTGGTATTTTAATAGTATTTTTGGTGTAATCTTACAAATACTAATTGTAGGTGAGTTAATATCGAATATTGCACACTGATGAATTATTGTATATTGATGGGAAAATATTGAACAGGGAGTTTTTGGTTCATGCCAAATAAGACCTGTTTACTCCCAATTATTTTCAGGGTATATGACCAATATTATTATATTCAAACTTAGCTGGATAGAGTATTTTGTTATGCTATCTTGTAAATTATGCCTGACATTTCTAATATTTTGACAATGCAAAGTTTTTGTTTCCTCTATAAACCTGTATTTGTTAACTGGAATAAATTTTATATGAGCTTTTCTGATATGGTTTCAATGAGCACATTTACATTCATATTTACAGTGCTGTGCATCCATATATTCCCTTCATATAAATATTCGCTAGATGTTTTTAATATTTTTAATAAAGATCCCTGACACTGAGAAGCAATTATTTCAGTTGCATTATTACTTTCATAATAATGTTTAGGTTCTGGGACTAGTACAGGCCGAGGCGCACATAATATTTATCGTGAGGTTTGGCTTCTGGGCCCAGTGTTGGCCGAGGCGTCCACTATATCCATCGTGAGGCTTGGACTCTGGGCGCAGTGCTGGCAGAGGCGTGCACTATATCCATCGTGAGGCTTGGGCTCTGGGCCCAGTGCTGGCAGAGGCGCCATTATGTTAACCGTGAGGCTTGGGTTCTGGGCCCAGTGCTGGCATAGGGGCCATTGAATTAACCGTGAGGCTTGGGTTCTGGGCCCAGTGCTGGTAGAGGGGCCATTATATTAACCGTGAGGTTTGGATTTTAGGCCCCAGTGCTTGCAGAGGCGTGCATTATATCCATCGTGATTAAGGCGAATTCACATAAATGAGTTAGGTTTAGCAAATAAAGAAGTTCTGGCATGGGGTGTTTTTATTGCTAAGAGTTGGGAATTGTGGGAACCGACCTGTGAGATTTATATTTATTTAATTTATATGAATTTATATTTACATTAATTTATATACTTCGATAGCAATTTGTATAATGATAAGTGGACTGTATTTCTGCAATAATCTCATAATCTCACAAATCGATCCTCTACACATTAGGGGGGGGGGGTTTATATTAATTTAATTTATATATATGCAGCCAATCAAACTACAGTATTAGACTACATACATTGAAGAGGTTCCTTATCTTATTTGTACAGCAGGCCTTAGTCCACCAGGTATAACCAGGATGTAGGCACCACATTTTCCCTCTTTGAGGTAGCTTCCATCACCCTGGTAACTGATGCACAAAGCATGCTTCCTCGTCTTGGACCTGTCAAAAGGACGCTAGCTATAAAGCCAGAATCCTATATATGACAGGTATATCAGAGAAAACACTGTACATGGAACAATGAAGACCTGGCTTAATTACCTTTAGTATGAGGCTATCTTGTGCTCTAACCGGATCACCCTATATCCACTGACATTAATGGCCATAAATGAAAGATAAATGGGTTTCGGTAGAACACTTAACTTGAATTTGTTGACAGCGTGTTGGAGATGGTACACCTTTGGTTTCCATAACACTTCGTCCAAGTAAAATTAACAGGAGCCGTATTTGCTCCCGTGAGCCTCTCTGGTCTAGTACAAACAATGGCTGCCCCTCCCTCACTACTGACGCCTGGCTTACATTGTCCAGATGACAGAAAGTGATAGAAGGGTCACATTTACTCTACTTTAATATTGATAATTAAGTTAATTTATATGAGATGTTTTCTGATGGTAAAGTCCAAAGACTAATGTATTTAAGAATAATTCCCAGCAGAATAGCTGGTGAAATTATAATAGTATGTGGTAATGATATCCCGTTTTCTATAGACTGTAATTCCACTACAAGTTACGTTTTCTATGGGTAACTTGTTTATACAATACAGCTATTATCTGTCTGTATGATATATTAAATGCTGTCGGATTTTCCGACATAATTCCCCAGGGGCTGCTCACGGGTCGAAGTCCTATTAGAACAGACGAACACCGATACTCCTCCTTCGAATTATTAGATTAATTTGATGTTAGTAGTTAGCAATCACACATTTGTGCGTCTGTTCGTACAGGACGGATGTCCCGTACTAGAGTTGCAGGGGTCAGAAGTCTAAAGCGATTTCATTTCCCTGTCAACTCTTGAAAGGCTAATATTCAAGCCTAATTACATATTATTTAACCAAGAAGACTGAATGATCAAGTACTACAGTCAAGTATGATTCAGGGACTGCAGTGAGATCAGTGACATTAGATATAACTTGAAGTTTGTTCAGGTAACTGGTCACTGATATATAAACACTGAGGCCCATGGAATACATCTTGATTAAATAATAAATGTATCAAATCAGTCATCAGATTTATTGGGGTTTAATTTAGTTAATTGATTCAGAAGATTGAATAGCTCAACATTAAAGTAAAGTATGGTTCTGAGACTGCAGTGGGTTCAGTGACATTGGTCGCAGTGACTTGTAGCTGGTTTAGGCTACTGTTCACTGATTTGCCACTGAGGCCTCATGAACTCATCTTCAGCTTTAAATGATGATACTAACATCAACCTCTGTTGGTATAGTCAGCTGTAATGTCCTTAGTATAATGCTACTGGAGAAATATAATCAGCTGACAAATTTAGATTTCTATTGGTATTGTTTATCTGCAGGCATAAGTCTCCTCAGGCTTGATACTGGGCCTGAGAGTAATTTACCTCCTGCAGAGTTTAACATGGTTATGCCCTGATATTTAGTAGGGTTACCGATGAATCGATGACAATAGTGTGTCCCTACAAGGAGACCGAAGTCGGTGAGGTGGTCAGACTTAATATTATCTGCCAATTTTATTCCTCTATTTCTCAGGAATTTGGCTGTTGCTCTCAGACCTTGAACTTGTAGGTCTACTGGTATTTTGTCCACCACAATGGCTTGTACTCGACAGACGTACCTGCCTAAACGTACTGATGGTTGTACCACCTGGTAGACTTGAGGTCCTGCATCTGTTACAAACCCTGAGATATTGAATGACATCTGGGCTACAGGCTTCAAATGTAATTCATCTGCCAACCTTTTAGTGACATATGTTCTCTGGGACCCTTGGTCAAACAACCCTCGGGTATGGACCTTGGCCCTCTAATTCTGGATGGTAATTTGGGCAGTAGGCAAAGTCGTATTACCTTTAGACTTTGCCGATTGGACACTTTGTTTGTTGCACCTTGCAGTACTGTACTGTGGTGGGAATGCTATCTTCCACCTTGGGGTTTGGAGACGTTGTTTTGGTGTCTCTGCACAATGCTGCATGGTGCTGACCTTTGTTACACCTATTACAGGTGTGTAATTGGGTCTCACAGTCCTTGATGTTATGTTTCCTGAGGCACCTCGTGCAATGTTGCAAATCTTTGAGTCGCTCAACACGGGCGTCACTATCAGGAAAATTAGAGCAGTGGTACATTGAATGTTTCTCATCGCAGAACAAACATGTTCCATAGCTTCCAGTACCCTTTGGTGTCACGTTCTTGGGTAACACAGTAACTATAGGCTTGGAGGGTCCCACTGCATATACGCCCACACTGCTACTGTTCCACTTTGGTGTTGAATTATATTGTCTAGATTGATTTGGAGTACCTTTGGTACTCTGTGGTTTACTATTATTGGTTCCTGAGGGTTTACTTGGTGGTTTTAATTTGTCATGTGTTCGTAATTGATGAACTACTGACTTTAAACCTTCAGATATTTCATTCATGGATAAGATGCTTTTATTGTAATGAGCACTCAGTTGTCTCAATATGTCCCTAGGTATTTTCTCCTGGACAATTATTTTCAAGACCCACTCAGCCCCGTTTGTATCTGCTGTCAGGCTGAGGGCATTGATCAATGATTCTACCTCCAGCTTGAAGACTTGGAGTGAATCAGCTGAAGCCTCCGGTGGGGGTAAATGCAACAGCTCATGAACTAAATGTGATGTTCTTACTTCTGAATCAGCATAATTATCCTTGAGGAGTTTTACTGCCAGATCATAGCCGTCATTAGTTAATCTCAGATGGGATACTACTGTTTTAGCCTCACCTGATAATTGGCCTTGCAAATAAGAGAATTTACTACTCTTTGGTAAAGATTGTTTTGAGTCCACAAGGTCAACGAATTTGTTCCAAAATTCGTCCCAATCTTCCTCATCTTTTCCTGAGAAAGTGGGTAAATTAATTGCAGGGAGTCGAGCTTCTGCTTGACTCGTATTAGATGCAACTGTTGTTGTTGCTGTTGCCTTGTTCTGGGCAATTAATTTGACGTAAGGCTGTAACGTGGCCTGAGTCTGATCTTCATAATTCGCTAGATCAACCATAATGTCGTCTATTTCTGTTTCTGATAAATCAGTGTTGGCAAGTTCAGCCACATATGTTGCTATTTGGCATTTGATTTGCTCAAATTTACCTGCAGCTGCTTGATAATAGCTTTCCAGGTCAGCATAATCAACTTGAGATTGTGACAAATCTTCACATTTCTTGATCTGTCTTGTTAAATGGCCTTTCAGACCTGCAAGGGTTCTTTTCATTCTCCCTGCATTATCCATACTGGCTAGTTGGTGAAGCCTTGTGGGGCTTGTACTTGGGCTGCTCATAATACTGAACAAGCACTGATGGTAGCCTAGGGTAAAATTCTGCACTCGCTAGGCTGTAATCCTACCTCTACTAGAGGTTAGCACTTAAAATTAATACACATTATATATATATACAATCATACACACTAATGATTTGAGTGATAAACCAGTGTCACTGGAAGTACCTTTAGGTTAGCTCTTTTATATCACCCTAGGATGGTAGAGACACTAATTAATCACTCAAAGGTGTAATGATCATAAGTAAATTATTATATATACAACTCAACTCGAGTTGATAAAAATTACACCCAAAATAGGGTCTGCACCATTCATTAATGGTGTTAGGTTGATCAATATAGTACAACTGACTATGGTAATAATGGGACTAGGATGAACGATAATAGTTCAACTAGTCAATGTTAATATCCTACCCTGTTGTGGGTTGGCAATTAGTAAATATTATACTGTGATCACTAGTGCAATATATATTAAATAATTCTCTATTTTGGAGAAATAATATACACAATTATTGATAATAGCCTCTTAATTAGCCTCTATGAAACTTCTAATATTATCAAGAAGTATTAAATATTATTAGTGACCTCGCGAAATAAACTCCACAAAATTCGTGGATAATCTCTCGCGAAATTTAACACCACGCAATCCGTGAACAATCTCGCGACACAGCCACTAATTTGGCTGGCTTCTATATTAGCGCTGTCATT